GCCTTGTGCATCATGTGAAGTCTTGTCGGTCCGCCGCCTGTGGGGGGCAGCAGGCCGCTGGAGTCCATGTTCGCTGTGCCTCATACAACCGTAGAAGAAGAAGTAAAGGGCGGCCTTCAGCGATAGAGCATCTAGCTAAGTTGTTTTAGCTAAAACGAAAAATCACTTTCCCTCCATTTGGATAACCGACGTAGGGTTTGTGTGGAATAAAGACACATTCATGTAAGTGCGCACATCGGCTGCTGTTAAATAATTCCCGTCATATTTCCTCGGTCTCAGCCAGGAGCTAAACGTCTACAGCTCGCTATTGTTTGCGTTGAGGAACTAGTTTAACTTGGACATGCCTATGCTTGGTTAGGTTCAGTCTACTTCCTAGAAACTTACAGGGGTACCGTCATGGAGCCGGAGGAAACTGACGTGTCTCAGAAGTTAGAATTATTTTATAGTGGTGATTGTTAGTGTTTAATCGCTAATGTTTGCTAGCAGATGAGGTTGGCTAACGAGAATATATACTCCATGATATCCCGGCCGCGGGTAACACACGTGCGCTAACTATCGTGTATCCATTATCGGACATCTCTTTGTATGAGGCACTTCCCTTCCCTAAAAACTTAACTTACAGGACGTATTTCTTCACAGACACTGTGTCATCTTAAGTAGACGTGATTGTTAAGCGAGGAAAGCCTTTAAACACAAAAATCGTCCCATGGATAAAGTTAATGTTGGCTTTGGAGACCAAACTGGACGGGCGTAAGCACCAAAAGCTAACATCCTCCTCCTCCCGACACTGTGAGCCACATCAGCTTTTGATTAGCAAACAGTTTAGAAGAATTCTAAAGTAAAATGTTCAAAATACCAACATGTATCAGAGATGATATCTGATCAGAAAAGGATGTCTGTTTGAGTTGGCGGCTGGAATGAGCTCTGATTACAATCTTTCATTTCAAAGCACAGCAAATACATGACCATCACTTTATATGCTTCAGTACAACATATTTAAGACCAAAGATACGTGGCTTTTATTGGTTTATGGTGAAATTCCTGACTTTGAAAACAGACGCAACAATCGCAGAGGTTTGTCAGTGTCATCGACCTACTGTCCGATAATGGACCTCTCGTTTCTGAATGCTAAGTTTAAACATTTCCTCATACAACCGCTCCTCCTTATCGTCCGCGTTTTCCGAGGTGTAGATCTTCCAGTAACACTGTCAAAGCTAAACGACGTGGCGTTTACGTTGTTAACTCGGGCAAGCTAACGAAAAAATGCTTATCCTTTATTTTCCGGATCTACACGTGTGTCGTCATTACTACATGCGGAAGTAAGTAACACTGAAGGAAAGCAGAAAGGAGCTGCTGAACACTTTTTAGTTATATAATGACTATTATCACTGAGCGAAACAATGAGTTGGAAGATCTGCTGCTGTCGATTAATGACAAGAAAGTAGTGCTTTGAGCTGTCACCGCTGATGTGTTTTTTTCAGGTACTTTCACCAGTCAAAATAACACTGAAACATTACAGGTGCTGACTGAGGAGGAAGATATCACAACACGCAAACATGTCCGGAGCATGTCAGGACAGAAGAAGTCGCTGGCAGGAGATTCAGAAAGGCCTACAGTTTATCCAGTAAGTGTAATTTAGGTCACTGGTGGTTCCACTGGGAGTCACTTTTGAACTATGATGATTTAATGCTGTGTTTGTTTTGTTGCTATGCTCGCTTTGAATTGCAGCGGTTAGTCATTTAATAAGTTACTCAATCATCAGAAGATTAATTAGCAATCACAGATATCTCACATTTGCCGTTTTCAAATATGAGAGTTTGATGCTTTTTCACTCGCAATAGTAAATGCAATCTATTTGGATGTTGTTGCCGTTAGACAGACGAAACAAGAGATTTGAAAACATCACTTTAGTCTGTGGGAAATTAGAAGAGCCCTTATTCTCAGTGTTATGTCATTTTGTAGACAAAATAAGAACTGGCACATTAAAGCTGGTGTATGCGGTATTTATTTTTTAAATTTTTTTGGCATCAGTGGTCAAAGATTTTACAATAATCTTTTAGAATGTTGTAATTCAGCTGGTGTGAGAGGACATGAGGCTTTCTTAATGTCCTCTTAGCTTTGTTTTTGGGTCTTAGAAAAGCTAGCCAATCACAGATCTTTTCAGCTTAGATGAGACGGTAAATACAAGTGTTGACTATGTTTGCATGTCTGCAGCCCGTGCATATGCCAGTGCTCATCTGGAAAAAAAATGTGGTAGTTCTTACCCTCTCTTAGATAAGGCTGCCGCTATTGGTTATTATAGTTGTCGATTAATCTACGGATTATTTTCTTGATTAATCAGGTAGTTGTTTGCTCCATAACATGAAAGAATATGGTGAAAAAATGTCGTTAGGTGCTTTCCAAAGCCCAAGATGATGTCCTCTAATGTTTTGTTTTGTCCACAACCTTAAAATATTCAGCTTACTGTCATAGAGGAGGAAAGAAAATATGAATGTTATATTATTTTGGAGGCCGTAATCATAGTTTTTTTGTTTTTTTTTTTAAACTTTTTTTGCTTAAAAAAAACAACAACAAAAAACGAACTAAAAAGCCATTTATTTGATAGTTGAAAAATACACAAATTGTTGCGGCTTTAATAATAGTTAAAGTAGTGGATGGCTAAAACATTAGCTGGGATTCCTTTAAATCAAGAATCCTATTAACTACAGGTATGCATCTGTGTTTTGGGGTTCTTTTGATGAAAAGGTTTAGTCACCTCTGTAGACAGCGTGACTCAGGGAAGATTTTTCACCCTTGCATCATTCCCCCTTTTTTTTTTTGTCTCCAGTCACTGCAATGTGTACACTTGTAGCGCAATCATTCCCACGGAGTATAAGCTCCGATTTTAAATAACATAATAGTCATGGAATGTGTCATTTCCATGATTGAAAAGGAGCCGTGAGAGGAAAGAGCTTCTCTAATCTGCCTCCTTCTCTACACAACAGAGATAACACAACTGGTCACAGGTGCTTTGTTGTTCAGATCAGCTGGGGCTGAGTGAGACAGCTGATCGCCGGTTTTACAAAAGTTTTGTTTTTAGTGTTTGGTATCTGAGCTTTTTGTTCATGCGTCAGGCAGACTTTCAGTTTGTCCCTGTTTTGTTTCAGAGCTGGCGTAGTGTCGTATTTCATCTAATCTGACAGGGCCCTTTATCATTAAAACAAAAGTGATACTTAAAATACTACAGCACACGTCATCGCAGTGTGTACAGCTGTGTAAGATGGTTACAGGAAGTATGGCCCTTTAGTTAGCCACATTGTTTGACGTAATACTTTGTCATCATGTGTGAATCACAGCTCTACAGACTAATGACTGATGCTGTAAATTAGGAACCAGCTGATGCAGGTTTTTTATGGGCGATGCTGATTATTGGTGATCAAGGAAGGTTAATAACCAATATTTGGAACCAATATACATTAAATATAATGTTTTAACAGCATGTGACAGCAGGGAATCTGTTATTAATAACTATGATTCTTCATTAATAAGGGTAACTAAATATGTAATAATAGGATTGATTAAATTAGGGCGCTCTCCTCTGTTTATGTGGGATCGACTGAGAATGATCAGTTGTTTTTCCTGCAGTTACATCTGCTGTTCTTCTCTATTTGCTTAATATTTCACTTTTCCATTACTTTTATTGCCCACTAAGCTCCATATCTTGAGGCATTATTCATTAATGTTTTCCAGACTCGGTTTCAGGGTCATTTGTGGCTCCCTTGTAAACTTAACTGCTAGCCGTTAGCATAGCATTAGCCACTGTGAGAGGAGCTAAGTAGCTTTCCTGGTTTGTGGCAACAGCTAGTGTTTCTCTTTCAGTTTTTGTAGTCTCTGCCTGTTTCTGAGACCACAGAGTAAATACAGACAGAAACAGGAGGCTACATCAGACCTGAGGTAGCGTATTTAATTTATCGATAACGGGCCAATAAAAGTGACAATATAGATAACTGGGAAAATGCTAAATATCCGCAATTGGCCAAGTCAGTGATTGGTCTATCCTGACTAAATGTGTCAGAAAGAGAAGCAGCAGGACATTTAAAAGGAATTAGATTCAGACACAATCATTAGCATTTATTTACTGGTGAGCTTTTGAGCTTGTGTTCAGTTGCAGTTTTCTCTGTTGAAAGCTCCGCATTCTTGAATAAAATGCAACAATATGATAAGTAGTCAGGTTTACAAAGAAGGAAATACAACGTGAAGCTGAACAGGAAGCTAGCATAACAAAACATCAAGTGCAGCAGTCTAGCATCGGATAAAACGGTCAAATGTTGATAATATTAAGGTTGGCAGGGATCGTAGCTCTGTGTCAACATGCAGATTTGGACGTTTTATTGATCGTAGTTAAAGTCTTGGCTGGTGATCAGTATTAATGTATAATTTGGTCTACTTAAAAATCTATTTTGCCACATGACTAACAGCTTAATGAGAATCATTTCATTTACTTTCTGTTTGTTATCATTTAGTGTAATTTGTCACAGTACTCATCAATATCACGAACATTTTTTCTTACTGAGAAGTAAAAAGTAAAACTTAACATTAGAAATGCTGTCAATGTTGAATCTGGATTTTGGAGGGTGAAGGGTTGTTGCTTTTGCTGACTTGTTTGCATTCAGTAGAGGGTGCAGTCAGTGTGTGCGCACACAGCAAACCAGCGACGAACACAAACACACACCTACACACCTTCCTGTCCCCATGTCTCTAGTTCAAGTTTGTTTTCACGAGTTAACCAGAACAAAAATTCTGTATCCTTCAAGTAGTATATTGCATATGTCCAAACCATAAATACAGCAAAACAATATGGCTACTGTGATGCTTTTTTGATGACAACTCAGGCTGTTTACTGAACACATTTTGTAAAATTTGTTGTGCAAGATAACTTGAGTCGCTTGCAAGGGGGACTGATAGATAAAAAATAAATAAATCCACTTGTCATTTTTTAATAATAATAACTTGCCCTCGTGTGACATATGTTCACTAGTGTCTGTAAATTAAAAAAACTATTATAGAGGTCAGTGACTTCAAGCCTGAATACAACTTAAGAAGTCTGAATTCTACGGAATGTATTTGCTGAAAAATGTGTTCAAATTTGAAGGTTTTGTAAACCTGTCAGATGCTTTATCATTTGACACAACTTAGATCTTTTTAATCAGACTTCTCACTCCAGCAGCAACTGATGGTTACCTGTATTCTTCAAACACTTTGCTTCTGATTGTCTGGAGTCAGAGTTGAGGCTCGTAAATACCAAAATAGTGACCAGCATAGTTTTTAATTACACAACTATCTCAATACCTTTACTCGCCAAACAGAAAATCCACCTGCACTTGGCACATTATACTTTCACACCCTGGATGAGGTATTTAAAATAATTAAGTTATTTGGAGGCCTACTTAGTACTAAATGAAAGGTTATAAGCTCTAAATGCTGCCACACTCCCATCAAGGTTGTTATTTCTCATGTGAATGTGTTATTTTGTACAGCTGACACTTTGACGGTTTGTAACTTGACTTTTTTTGTTGTTGCTTTTAGATCAACCCTTCCATTTCCTGGCAGTCAAGAACAGTATGAGGTAAGCTGTGCGAATTGCAATTTGGCTGGAGCAGCTTTTATCTTAAGTCGCACTTTAACTTTAGAGTTAAACTAATTTGAGGACATGGATTGTGGGTCCAACTGAGGGCAACCTGTTTTTGGTTCCTAAATAAAGGTCACTGATTTGGTTCCTTTTAATTTCCAGGTGTTCATAAAGGACCTCGTGTGGAATCTGTTTGGGGAAGGAAACGACGTGTATAAAGAAGGGGAATGGACGAAATCCATCGAAATGTACACTGAAGCACTGAGTATAGCAGACTACGCTGACTCAGAAGAAATCTGTGTTCCAACAGGTTTACTAGAAAAGCTGTATGCAAATCGAGCTGCAGCGTATCTAAATATTGTTCCGGTAAGTAAGTAGACGGTGACTATCACGCTAATCGCCTGTCACTTTGCATTTCTTCCTCCTTTGCTTTCAGTTTATCATACCATTGGTATATGTAGTTGAAAATCAAAAATTAAACTTAAAAAAAACAAGACAGAGTTTGGGGCCTTGTAGTAGTTTTGTAAATGTAAGATCAAGATGTATGACAAAGTTATAATGCCATAGATCGTAACAATTTAAAAAAAAACGTTTCTTTTGATTGTTTTACAAAAATTAAAAAGTAAAAAAAAAAAAATAGAATCAGCATGTACAACAAGTGTCCACTTGTGATCAATACTGGAAAAAAAGTGGTAGCTCTACATACTAAACACATTTTACGACTTAGTTTTTAATTTGTTTCCATTCTTGTCTCCTGTGTGCTCCGTCTAAACACTGCCTGCAGTTCAGCCCACTTCAGTTAAAAAGGCGTCAATAATGCCTTCTGGGTGCAGGATTTTTGGTTTTTTACAGACTCTGGTTACTGTAAACAGTTGATTTTTAGCAAATATTTAAATGAGACATGTAGAATAAAGTGACTTTGATGAAATATTCTGATTTTTAGCTTAGATTTGGTCGTTTTCAAGAAACTGGGTCAGGAGCTGTTGAAAAGCTAAAAACCTGACAAGATTTTCTGTTTTTCTAGTTTCTGATAAATTGTGTAATTTTGGCAATTTTGTAAAACAGCATACATTGCAAACCTGCTGGGATGTTTTAGGGTAAAGAGGGCAAATAAAACCTGCCCGTTTGGTAGGTTTATAGCCTCATGTCATGTTTGAGGTTCCAGGGTTTAAACAGGTTTGCTTCTACTGCATAACACTAATGAGCTATCCTCCAAAAACACTAACCAATGTAAGAATAAAACACGACGGCTTTTCCTAAAAGCAGCTTTAATAGCATAGCTCACTTTTATAGCCCTTCGTTGTCCTTTGTTTTTCCAAACTTTTTCCAAACCCAAAAGTGTTACGCTGCTTCTGGCCCATGACAGTTAACAGGGTTAAACATTACCTTGTTTTATCGTTGTGCTCCTTTGGCATATTTTATTATGAATGTACATTAAATCAGGGATAGGCCACGATGACCGAAACAATGCCAGACAGCACCTTCGTTTTTCTTTTGTTGCTGTTGAATCTACGCTTAATTAGCATCGTCCATCTGCATTCTGAATCGTCAATCACACAACTTTGCTTGGCGATTTTTTTTTTTCCTGCCCACAACACCTGAGTGCTTGTGGAGGGCACTTGTGTGTCCTCAGAAGGTGTCATGTTCAAGCACATGAACACACGGTGCATTACCAGTTTGACAGTGTTATTTAGCCTGAGGACATGCAGGTTAATATGACATGGGGTGCGGCTGACTTTTGTAACAAGATCTCTTTTTTTTCCTTTTTGAAACTACCTCGCATGCAGAATGTTGTAATGGTCAAGGGCACGTTGGTTAGTTGATCCTGGTTTTCCTCTCATGTTTTTGACAACACGTCAGAGGAGACTTTAAATTGCTCTGCTCGATATTTCGTAAATTCTGACAAACCAGGCGAGAGTTCAAACACTGATTTAGTTAATTAAGATAGTAAAGTAAACCCCCATATTAGCTATCACCAATGATCAGATGTTTTGCTTTAAAGGAAGACTTGGGAAACATGCTTATTTGCCAAGTAGGTGTTGGATCTGTATACTTCGGTGTGTACCCTAAATATGAAGCTACAGACGGCTTAGGTTATCACAAAGAAGAGCGACGAGGGGAAATGACTAGTCTGGCTCTACCCTTATAAAATCCACTCACAGCACCTCTAAAGCTCACCGGTTTCCTGGCAACGTAGAGGTGACAAGACCCCAAAAATCATTTCTTTTAGCACAGACACACAGTCTTCTTATCTAACTCCAGACAGGAATGCACACAAACATATCTTCCTAAACATGAAGCATTTCTTATTAAAGCAAAATATGTTGCTCTTAATTAACTGGTTTACTTAATCGCACAGAAATTGGCGAAAGATTATAATCTAAACTCAGGAATCTTAGAGACAGTGAACGCATCAATAAAAATGTATCAGTGAAGAAGCTGATGAATCGCTTATTTTTATTGATGCGTCAACGGAGATGTGGGTCGCATAAGTAATGATGCAACTTGATGTTGGACAGGTTTCAAAATGTAGCTTGCCAGAACGAGACTAAGTGCTAAACTCTCTAGACATTTGTTGAGAAACTTGGATCCAGGAAGGAAAATTTCCATATGAGGACAATCGTCGCTTTCAAAAGAGCGTCCAGTCCCTCTTCCTTGTTGGTGTGTGTCGGCGTTACGTCATTTTACATGGCAGTAGAAACACCCTGCTGTCACCAGGGAGGGCTCACACCACACCCATACTCTGACTGAATCACCAAACACGTCAAGTCAATCTGTGATCAAATCAAAGTTTCTTTGTTCTGTGTTCACTACACTTTGGTTGAGTATATACTTTTAACTCGACATGTTTTTTTCTTTTCTTTTTTTCTTCATAGGGACTGTATGACCAAGCACTAGAAGACTGTGAAAAGGCTCTCCAGTTGAATGAGGGCAACTACAAAGCACTGTACAGAAAAGCAAAAGCCTTGAAAGAGATGGGTAGACATCAAGAGGCCTACGAGGCTGTTGCCAAATGCTCTCTAGCAGTGCCTCAGGTACTACATATTTTAAGTAAATTTATCCACATGTGCAGGAAATCCACTTAATTTGTCATCTCCACAAAATTGACAAAAATTAAGCAAATTGCAATGTCTTCCAGGCTGCCTACAGACACAGCACACCCAGTGGAGCCATGTTTCTGGCAGGTTTTGCATATTACCTTTGGTTTGAATTAAGAAAGTTCAGATGATGTGGCAGAAATAACAGCAACATTTAATTTGATGCAATTCTAATGCATTATATGTGTTTATTCTTTCTTTTAAAGAAAGTTATGTACATGAATACATTGAAAAGCTGTATGTTTGACAGTGGAGTAGCTCTGTTTTAAGAAGTGACCTCTGTCCTATATCATACTATACTGTAGATGACAGCATCAGTGTCTCATAAAAGTGTTTGTATAAAATAAAATGCAGCAAAGGAAAACTTTTTTTCCCCTTTCAATAATGGAAAAATATCAGAAAATGATGGGTTACTTCCTGTAAATAGTGTGTATACTATCCAACATTCTAAATTATTCTTATTCATTTTTACAGTGTGAGCACAATGGAATTTAAAAAAGATCAGTGGTCGGTGTCCAGTGATTCAGTGTGTTTGACCTCAGCTTTTAATTTGTTTTTTTTCCTCCAGGATTCCAGTGTCACACAGCTGACTCAGGACCTTGCCAAAATTTTGGGGTTGAAAATCCGTAAAGCTTATGTTAGGAGTAAGGTATGTCGAATCATATTTTTCCAGGAATTCCTACAAAGAACCAGTTCTACATGTTAATGTCAAAACAAGTTTAAATTTGAAGGTTTTGCACAGAAATTGATGTCTCCACTAACCATAAATTGAACAAAAACACAATGTGAAGATGTAGTTTCTTTTTTTCTCTCTCTAAAAAGCCTGCCTTGAATGTTTTGCGAGGATCAAGTTATCAAGATGTATCATGTGACAAGGTAAGGCATCCACTACACAGCAAAAACTACAAATCCATAGTCTCCTGATAAATGCACTTATCAATATGTCAATCTATTTTCAGTTTCATGATTCAGCTTCAGTTGAAGATATAGAAATTGGTACGTTTCCATCTTTGAGAAGCCTTGGTTTGCACATGAGAAGGAGTCAGGACAAGAGTTGTTCATCCTGTTTTTCCCTCCAATGTGTTTTAGAAGTGCCTCAGTTGACCCAGGATAGCAGTGTTTTGGCTCCAGGCCCAGCTCCAATCCAAGCTCCGGTGGCAGTGCATCCACCTCTGAATGAAGCAGTGCTCGACGAACTTCCTTCAAACAACAGTATCTCATCTGTAACCCCGTCGGAGCCTCCAGGTTTCGAGTCCGTCCCCTTGCCTGTATCCGCAGCCACGTCAGTCCCTCTCCCTGCGCTCACATTTGTTAACGGGTGCCGCACCAGCAAGCCTTGCTCAATTCTTGAAAACAGTCAAGATTTTGATGGCGACATCATTGGCGATGACCTAGATGATCTACTGGACCAAGCAGGCCCAGACTCAACCTTGGTTAGTGAGCAGATACGACTGCAGGGACTCACTGATGAATAAAATGTGACAAAGAGTTGATATCCGAACAGAAGTGTGACTTTTCTTTGTCTCTTCTGTCAGGGTATTCCCACGGTGAAGGGGCCTCTTCCTTTGCCAACCAGTATTGCCTCGGGCAATTCCATGTCGAGTCCATTCCTGATGCCACCTCACATCAACCCGTTTCTCCACAGCGGTGGCCAGCAGTGCACTGTAACTCTGCCACCTCTGTATCACCAGTCGGGGTCGAGTACTTATTTTGGTATGGACACTTTTGACTCTCTGGCTCCGCCGCTGGACTCCCTGGATAGTCTCAATATATCGGACTATAAAACAGGTGTGTTACTTTGCCCTTCCCGCACAATCATATATTGCAGTTCAGTGACTATCAAAATTGAATAAACACTGATACTTTTTTTTAATCATCTGTTTAAATTTCAGAGTATGCTCCGAGTCCATTCATTCCACAGGTAATTACTGTTCATTATCAATAATGACAAACCGTTGTCAGTCTGTACTTTCTTACAGGCTTATAGTGTGCTATGTTCCCTCTTTGCTACAGCTCAACAATAGTGAAACCCCGATGGGAATGGCTGTGGGCATGCCTGATGTGAAGGGCCTCCCTGCTGCCGTGGATTTAGCAAAGAACCCCTTAGCTGAAACTCATGAATTCAAGCAAGCCTGCTCGATGTGCTACGTCAGAACTGGTGAGGAATTGTTTTGATGTAGGAAGTTGATTGTCCCGTTTCTGTGCTGCTGTAAGCTGGAATCGGTCATTGTCTTCCAGAACAGGTAAGTAAAGTTGGCTCTAACGTGTTTCTCATTTCCATGTCCGCAGGGCCTGGAGTGTTGGATTACACACTTCATACTGAGGAGCATAAATGCAAAAAGGATGTATTACTGGGCAGGATCAAGCATTCACCAGACAAAACGTGGAAGCTCATTCGACCCAGACCAACAAAAACCCAATACGTTGGACCTTATTACATTTGCAAAGGTGACTTTTATAAGCGTATACACTTTGTTCCCATTAAGCTGATTCGTTTGTCTCAATGTATTCTTTTCATTTGCTTTACCTCCAAGTTAATCACCAATGACATCCTCATTTTGTACCAGTTAAATTAACTCAAAAAATAAATGTAATATCCTGCCCTATCTGGCAATTTTACCACTTTTTCTTTTTTTTTTTTTTTGTAACTTTCACTTTGTGCGACATTTACAAGTCCTATCCAGATTAGAAGCTAATACTAAAATGTGACCTTGTTACAGAGGTGGCTGTTGGGAAAGACTGCCTGTACCCTGGGCACTGCACATTTGCATACTGCCAGGAAGAGATTGACGTTTGGACTCTGGAGCGCAAAGGGTTTATCTCCAGAGAACTGCTCTTTGATCCTTTTGGGACAAACTCCAACATCAGGTTGACTATCCCCAAGATCTTACACGAGCATCATGGGATATTCATGTTTCTGTGTGGGGTGAGTATTTGTTCAGCTGGTTAACAGAAAAACTATGCCATCAGAGTGTGATCAGGGCCAGTATTTGGACGGTTAAACATATTTTACTGTCTGTGCTTCAGCGAATTTAATTTAAAAAATAGGAGGTGTGCATTAAAGTGCCAATTCAGCTTTAAATTTAGTAGTTTCACATTAATATTTAAAGACCTGTGTGGGGATATAGGTCTTTAACACAGTGCTTAAAGTTTAGAGGGTGATCAGAGCGATATACATGGAGTCTCACAAAATGTTCACATTTCAATTTTTGCAAAGAAATCTCACCACGTTTGACACGAGCCGGTTTGCTCTGCATCATAAGCTTTTCCTTTTTTCCCCCCTCCTTCCACGGCTCTGCTAGTTTCTTTTCCTGTTTTTGTATGCTGCTACCTGGGATGTTTGTATGTGGGGCTGACTAGTGCAGATAGTTTGCATCCTGTTGTGAATCAGCCACGTGTGAGCTTTTCAGAACTACACACAGCCAGGTATCCAGTTGCTTTTAAATGTCTGCAATTCTGGTAGTGTGTTAAAATCTCTCTCTATATATATATAGATACAATCTATATCCCACACAGTTCTTTGTGTATTAAAGTGAAATTACTCAATTTAAAGTTCCCATAATGTGTACTTATTTTAATTTATTCTCATTTGTAGCTACTATACTAGAACAAAACTTTATTTACATTTACAGCCCAGCATCAAGTAAAGCTTAAATGTTGTCGTATATGAACGTTACCTACTGTTCAGTTGGTTTAATACTTACAATAACGCAAACTAGTAGTGCTGCAGAAGCCCTGTTGAGACTCATGTTGCAGTAAAAGTGACCCATCCAGAGAGGTCCTCTGAATGTCTTTTGTTATGAGACATTTGCAATGCTTACATTCTGTATTTGAGTACATTGTTGTTTGTTCTGCAGGTGTGCTTTGACCACAAGCCCAGAATAATCAGCAAAACCAACAAAGATGACCCTTCACTTTGTTCTCATCCTGTGACAAAGCATGACTTTGAGGATCATAAGTAAGTCACTCAGCATTTCGTAACTCTGAAATCATTTTTTTTTTTTGTCTTATTACTTGGAGAAGAAAAAGCATTTTCCCTACTTGAATTTAGAGCTAATAACATAAAGATACTCTGGACAGATGTGAGGAATTAAGATTATGTTTTTTTAACATTATCGTCCAATTTGTCTCGTCAGGTGCCTGGTTCACATTTTGAAGGAGAATACAGTCCGTTACTCCAAAATCCGACCCCTGAGTGCCCAGTCCCAGCTGGATCTTTGTCGTCATGAAGTCCGCTACGGCTGCGTGAGAGAGGACGACTGCTTCTACGCCCACAGCCTCATCGAGCTGAAGGTCTGGATGATGCAGCATGAGCTCGGTGAGACTGCTCTTTTAAATACTACAAGAACTCACTTGACTGCATCTCAAATATGGCCGTTTTCAGCTGCTCGTTTTTTTCCCCACAAGTGTTATTCTAAACCTTAGATTTTCAAGACGTACACTGCCAGATTTGGTCATTTGTTTCTTTTTTTTTTTAAAAATTTGTATCATACAGGCATCACTCATGAAAGTATTGTTCAAGAGGCAAAGAAGTTTTGGAGTGCGACAGCTTCATTACAGGGAGCCCAGGTAAGAACTCAATGGTTTCATTCATTTATGGGTTGCTGCTGCTCTTACCATTCTGAGATTACCTTTTAACCCTCTCATGTCACTGGGTGTGCTTTTTTTTTTTTTTTTAAGTTGTTGTTGCTGCTCCTGTCACATTTTGACTCACTGTGAGCTAATTTTTCACTACAGTATAACAATCTAAGGTCCCGCCCCTCTATGGAAACAGCACAAGCATGAGTAGAAGTAGAGAAAACTCAGAAATATTTTTTGAGCAGATTGACAAAGGTATGCCATGAAAAAGGGAAAAACTAAAGTTGAATTACTTAGATTCTTTATTTATTAAATTTTCAACATATACAACACTTACAAGTACACCCAGGCAAGACTCAGATGTGTTTTTTTTCCCCCCGTTTTGGCAAAACTGAAAGTCAAAAATGATTACTTACAATTAAGTACTGTTGGGGAAATTAAAAAAACAAAACTCAACATCTCTGTTTTTACAGTTTCTGACTAAGATAAATGGTGGTATTGGGTGATTTAACAATAACTAATACGCCTTTCAAACCTGCTGGAGGGTTTGGGGAGTGCAGAGAGTTTATATAATTTACAGTGACACCAATATAATATATTTTTCCACATTAACAATTCAAGGAAGCACAAATTGTTGTCTACAAAACATGTATTTAAGTATAGTTACAGTATTTCATTGGAAGACTGCTAAATGTAGATTTTGGGTTCAATTTGAGCTGGATTAAGGCAGGAGTTGGTGCATGTCATCAGTGGGATATTTTTCAGCATAAATGGGTGATTAAAGAAAGCTTTTTACTGCTTACTTGGTGCACTGTCTTTTAATCTTGTTTCACTGCTGCAGCAAAGAATCAATCATAGCTCTTAACCACTGCTTTTAATCTTATTAGCAGCTTTCCAATGCACAGAGGAGGTTCGGACCTCCAAATCTGAAGATGATGTTTGTTTGTGGCCAGTGCTGGAGAAATGGCCAACTAAGTGAAGCTGACAAAAACAAGAAGTATTGCTCTGCCAAGGCAAGACACACGTAAGTGTTTAGATGTCTTTGTATACCTCACAAAATGAAGGGGTAAAAAAGAAAAAAGTCCATAGCCACTAAATCAACCTGTCCTTCTGTCTCAGGTGGGCAAAAGACAGGCGGGTGGTGCTCGTAAGTTCCCATGAAAGGAAAAAGTGGACGACAGTAAGACCACTGCCAACCAAAAAACCCATCCCATCTCAGTTTGAGGTACGTGTCCGACATTTATTCTAATGTGTGTTCTTTCAGTTTCAAATGAATTTGCAGCAACGCTCACCAATGTTTTTCCATCTTTGCTAGATTTGCATGCACGTGACAGCTGGCAAGAAGTGTCAGTACATTGGGAATTGCACATTTGCTCACAGTGTAGAAGAAAGGGACCTTTGGACCTACATGAAGGAAAACAACAGTGAGTTTTGTCAAGGAGATTGGCTCTGTTACTTGGTAGAATTTAATCAGTATGCGATGAAGCGCACTCATATTTATCCCCTCATTTAGTTCCAGATATGGATCAGCTTTATGAGCAGTGGCTGCAGTCTCAGAAGCCTGGCTGGGGCGAGGAGGCTTCCAGTAACTCAGTCAGGGAGAACGGCAAACAGATCCACATGCCAACAGACTATGCTGAGGAAGTGGTGAGTTGACAAGCCAGCAGATATGACATGGTGCTTTTTTTCTGGTTGTGTACACGAGGTTCATGTATATACTGGTTCATGAATTTAGTTTGTACTGCATGGCTATGACAAATACTGTGAAATAGATGTGGTGTTGTCATCCGTTTAGTATCTTTGTCAGACAAATTCATGTTGTATTGCTTTTGCAGATCATCATTTAGTTGTCTGTTGACGCAGTAACAATTATTTGTGCCTAATGGTTAAACTGCGTGAATATTTTGATGAAATATAATTATTTGCTGAGTGATTAACCACTAATAAGAAACAGATGGTAATTAGTCATTTGTGTAAATTCAATTTCTGTTTTTGCAGGCTGGCAATCATTGTTGGCTGTGTGGTAAAAACTGCAACAGTGAGAAGCAGTGGCAGCAGCATATCACTTCAGAAAAACACAAAGACAGAGTTTTCAACTCTGAGGATGATCAGAACTGCTGGCAGTATCGATTTCCCACAGGCACTTTCAAAGTTTGTGAGCGGTAAGATTATCAAACAGCATACAGTACGTTTCTGGTTACCCGTAGTTTGTGATGGTTGACGTGCAATCTTGTGTTTTGACAGGTTCCTCAAAGGCACGTGCACAGAGGATGACTTGTGTAAGCTGGCACATGGAGAGCAGGAGCTAAAAGAGTGGATGGAGCGCAGGGAATTCCTTTTGATGAAACTTGCCAAAGCCAAAAAAGACCATCTTATAGCACCGAATGACAATGACTTTGGAAAATACAGTTTTCTGCTTAAAGATATTAAATAAAGATGTGATGACAATATCCATGCTCACTTGCAAATAATGCAGTATTCAAACAGTCTTGAGTCAGGTCATCCTTGAGGGCCTCTGAGGCACAAAGGAAATTGCCTGATCGCAGCATGATTTTAAAGGGGGGCATTCAGGACCCGGCCCTCTGATTGGTGGCTGGTTTTCTCTGATCGGAACTACTGGAGTGTTATCATTAATAGCAAATACTGAGTGTATGACACCTGAAGCTTTGCTATGCACCATTCAGTAGAATACCTGAATACGGTGATTACAATAGCATGTGTTAAACCTTGATCAGAGACATGTTCAGATACTTACAGACCTTTAAAAAAAAAGTAATTTCTTTTCACAAACAGTTTGTATACGTTAATGACCTTTACCGTTTTAAGTATGGGATGCTTAAATTGAGAATTAAGTTGACATTCTTTTATTTTAAATCAGTCAGAATAGGTCATTTTCACTTTCCATTTATCTAATAGTGTTACCAGTGTAATGGGCACACACCAAATAAAGCTTCTTTTTTTAAAAATCTGTACTGAAACTGCTGTTTTATTAGACACACACCCATAAACAGTGGGGAATAAGCACTCTGATCCTTATGGAAGAACTGCAGGAATGTATTTCTGTTGGAATTTAAGCCATTATTTTTGTCTTTCGGTCTATGACCATGCTTGATATTATGTAAGTCTGTATGTTAAGTGTGGGAAATTGAATTTGTAAACTAACAGCTGTCTCATTGGTATAAAATAATATTACAGAAATGTGAGTGCACAGAAGTACCAGAAAACGCTAAAGCACAGAACTCCAGGCGATGTGATTCTGGAAGTATCTGCTATTTTGTGCATAGATCCAGAAGCATATTCATATTTTGTATTTTTATTTCTGTCTCAATGTGTCCGTATGTATAAATATTTAAACTGGAAAATCATAAACTTTAATTATTTGTTGAACCATCTGGCATATTATATCCACTCTAAAGGAACACCATTTATTATTGTAGAGGTGATGCTCGGGGTATAACCTGACAAGATGGTTTTTAAAACTAAGTTAATGACAGGAAGTCTTCATTTGTAGTTTTTTTCCCCCGCCCCAAGCAATGGCAGAACAGTTATAGAGGTAATAATTAAACAGCAGGTGGCAGGACCTTTGCCTTAAGGTGGATAACTTTGTTTGAACCATGTGTTTAATTGTCCTGACATGGTGCTACAAAGAGCTATAAATCCAACATTCTGGCCTACAGCTCCACTTCCCTACAAGACTGACCTGAACAGTGTTGGAGTCAAGTGGGAGGTAACTTGTGTCATTGATTAAGCGTCACACTTTGCAGGGTAAATACCGTAAGCGTGAAGTCTTTGTCGCTCCTGCGTCCTACCTCTGAGACAGGAGCGTGGCATCCGGTAAAACCTGGTCGTCTGTCCTTTTGGGCACTTTTTGCATTTGTCAAGAATCACTTCATTACTGAACACCCAGCTGTGACAGGAGCCGCATTTCCATCCGCATCTCGGAAATTCAGGCCAGCACCTGCTGCAGGTCCTCCACCTCGGGCTTCCACATCCGTCTGTGGAGCGCGGCGAGCTCGGAGAGGTCTGCCATCTTCACTGCACGGATCACTGGCTCCGGGGAGACGGCGTGGATGACACCCATCACCATGACATATTTGCCTGCAACAACAGCAGCAGCAGCAGGTGGTCAATTGTTCACTGACAGAGGATCCAAGGGAGCGAGGATGGTGATACAGAGAGACGTGGCTGCTGGCTGCCACAGATCAAGATACTCCTGTGCAGTCATTAATTTTAGGCTTAATGCAGCTCTTTCAGGCGAACAATGTGCAATTCTCAATGCTGACTGTGGAAAGTTTCGTGTTAATTAACCAGAAATCGCATCAATTAAATAGCAGACTGCAGTAGTCTGGTTTCAACATCACACAGCAATACACTCGATTGTACAAACCAAAAGTTTTCCATGAACAACCTGCTTTTATTTAATCAAACTACAGCAATGCCTCATATTTCAAGCTTGTGAATTTTGCAATGTCACTCCATCTCTACGACAGTGTTTAAGTCACAGCAGACTTTTCTCCCAGCAGATGTTTGTGCATTTGTCTTAACAATTCTTAGTTCCTGCTTTTGTACATCACACCCCATTGATATTGCTGCAGGGCATGTTATCAGGTGCACAGGTGCTTTTCCTACTTTTTTTGCTGCTTCTGAATGTCGCGTTAAAACCAAAATTGAAAGGAGATATTTCTTGATTAACTCACTGTCAGTAGATGCTATAATAAAAGTCTATACACTGTTGCAGATTTTTCCTGTTTTCAAAAATAAAATGTAAAAAGTGCCCTTTTTTTCTACATTACCAACATCGTATTGCAAATGTTTAACTGGTCAAATTGCAGCAGTTGTTGATCTAAATGAATTTACCAGGTTTTGCATAAGCAGTCTGGTTTTTTTTCCCCCCCTGTTGATCTGTGATGTCTGAGTACTGTACCCACCGGTACGAACTAAGAGATCCTTGGGCAGAGGTCTGTTTGAGGAAAAATGACAAACAGTCCAACTTTTGTGTGAATCCACAGATATTCTTAAACAGAATACAATTTGCTTTAGTGTTTTTCGAACAGAACAAGCAATTTAGTGACATCAGCTTACTGAGATTAGAATCAAACGGATAATGGATTTTTTAAACCAATGCCAAGATTGATTTGTACAGAGTGAAAAAATCTGACATTTATGTATAAATATTGGAATCAGTATTTATCAGTGTCATTGATATACATATACAGACATATATCAGAGTCACGTCAAGAATGGGAATCAATTAGGTCATTGTTTATTAACCTGTAGAAATATATTTTACAAACTAGCTGGCAGCTTACCATGAAGACGTCACTATACTCTGCACCACTGGCCACTCAACTGTGCTACTTGATGGCAATTCATGCTTTGCGTACGCATGGACCCCTCTGCATATGTCTGCATGCAGCCAATGATTTGTAACCATGTGGACTGTCCGCATTGCAAATGCACTAATTACACATGCACAAGGAAAACAAATGGAGATTAAAACTAAACTTGTAACGGGGAGAGACGCGGGGAGATTCTTAATCATCCATACCTTTAAAATTCATCATTAAACGAGTTACAATTGAAATAGTCACTGGTGAAGTTTAGAGGAGATTTGATTTGCACATAACTTCCTGATCCTGCCCAAAAGGAAGAACAAATTTCACCAGAAATCCTGTGCTATTTCCTCCTGACACACCTTACGAATAATCAAATTTTAACGGTGCTCCAGCCCAATGTGTAAGCAGCTGCTGTATCCTTTCAAAACTGCCAGTCACAGGAGCCTTGTGTGTTTTTCTGTGTTTGATAGGGGGGGGGATGCAAATGTCTGCACAGCAAAGAAGCACGTACCTTCTGTTGTACGAGCAGAAGTGTGCACACATCTGCTACACACTTTCAAAATCTGCCTGGGCCTGAGCACAGGGACAGGGAAAGTGTGAAGTGGCCCTTACTCTGCTACATGTGCTGCACAGCTCTGAGGGTGTTATAATGATTGAAGTTGGAGCACACTCTGCTGGAGGGATCCATCTTTAAATTACCCGATTCTTTAGTTGGAAGCTCAAGAACAAACCAGAGAAATCTTCAGTTCACAGATGTAGAATATATTTAGGTCACAGGTAAAGTGAGGCAGCGCTGGGCTCAGAGTGACAGGGTTCTGTCAGAAGGAGCCCCGATAAGATTCACATTTATCTTCTTGGGCTGGGCCTAAGAGGTTGTACAAAACCGAGGTTAACTGGCCAGTTACTGTGATGTGAACAGGCTAACCACTGTTCACGTGGAAGTTCACTGAAATGTAAACAGAAACTGCTTGGACGAATACAAAGTGTGTGTGAGTGTGTGTGAGTGTGTGTGTGTTGTCCAAAAGGAGTGTAAGTAGCCTGGTCCAATCTAGTGCAATCTGAGTTTCGGTGAAGAAGTGCAGGTCATATTTAATCAGAAGCGTAAAGTGTACAGAAGTGAATACATATGACATCTCTACACAAAGCCAATTGTAATGTAAGGTTCATAGATGAAAAGCAATTTGTGCTGAGTGGAGGAAAACATGTAAATTCATATGTTCAAGTTAATTTGTTAAAATATTCATAGTGCTTACCTGAGCAACAGTTTACATTTATGTTTGCAGATTTATTATTTACACATTTTAACATTGTCATTTGTGTGTGTGTGTAATCTAAGTTAATGGGTGAATCTTCTGTTTTATAATACACTGGCATTTGCCTAGTTTGGCTCTGCCTTCTCCTGATTGGTTCGTGCGGTCAGGTGACGGTGTGTCAGGAAGTGTTGTGGACGCTGGCATGTGAAGAGTAAAGATGCTGTTTGGAGTAAGAAATCCGTCTCCATCCTGCTGTCTCATTATTAATTAGAGTGATCCATTAACCATCAAAGAACCCTCACGTTACAATAACATTACTCTAAGCAAGGTTCTAAAAGTTTTCATGTTGCCCTATAATCAAACAATAAAGCCAATACAGATATCTCTGCGATGGGCCGATATCTGCTGATAACATCGGCCAATTATTCTATCGGTCAGGGTCTAATTGTTATAAATTTTAATATTTTAGGAACCAAAATATGAATTGTATATTTGAAAAATGTGCAGAGTCATTGATAATGAAACCAGTAGTTAGTTGCATCTCTCTGTGCCGTTTTAGAAAACCAATCAAGGATATCACCCTGAAACACAACACCTGCGTCACAAAGCAGCTTCAGTCCGGATAACTCACCTGGAGACAAACACGGCTTCCCCTTGGGGATGCTGTTAACGCCCTGAACAGTAAAAGTCCCCGTCTCATCCATCAGCAGCACGGCGTTTCTGTCCAGCTGGGCTTCCAGGACAGTCCCCTGCATCCACACCAGAGACACCGGCAGGGAGCGACCCTTACCCAGCCTCAGGACGCAGCCGTCCCCGCCGTCCGCGCTGCTCCGGCCGCCGCCCGCCGCCCTCAGCTGGGCCGACAACACCTTGACGGGCGGAGGACGCGTCTTCTCTGTTTTCTCCAGTTTGGACATCACTCACAGACAGCTTCACACGTTGGTCCACAGCTGGGAAAGTTCTCATTTCCCGCCGAGAGCTAAATTAACCGGAATTTGTGGGCGTGTTTCTTCCGGTAGCAACAAGGTCCGACCCGGAATGGTTCCGGGTGAAAGCATGAAAGCTGACTCATCAATGTAGAGGGTCCCGGGGTGAAAGTTTCTTATACGGAAATGCTCATAAATAAATAAGAAAAGAATTATATCATCATGACCATTTTGCCATGTTACTGTGAAAAGATCAGATTTCAGATTTGTTCCCATTTGGTGCAACACAGTCCGGCCACCTTTGGTAACTTCTGCAAGTTAAATAAAACTTCAGGTTCATATCTCTTTATTATAATAGTTGGAAAATTCATTTCAGTGTGATTAATATGGGGCCAAATCCTAAATTACATTTGGTTTTAAAACTAAATTTGCCTTCACAACACTTTTAGATGCCTCTGTAATCTAATTATGTTTTCTATAATATAGAAGAATCTGTGTGGTCAGTGTTTTAAAATATGTTTGTTGTTGTTTTTCTGTTTTTTTTTTAAAGATTTCAGAAAATTGTGTGCAATATCCAGTTATGCTACATATATATGAATATATTAACAACACTTACATGCATGTATATTTTCTCCATCCCTTTTGCTGCAGCACTACAAGTTTCCACACTGTCAGAATAATTAGAAAGGATTGACTTATTTTATCTCACAATGCCCACAAACAAAATGAACAGCGACAACTTTATACTAATTGAAAATACAACCAACCAGATTTGCTGTTCTTGTCATAATATGCTGGGGTGTTTATTAATCTGCCATGTTGCTTTGAAGTAATAAACTAATTAACACTCAGTGCAGTGCAGCTTTAGTCATGACAATAATCTTGATAAATGAGTTTATTACTGGGATTTATGCAACTCACCCCAGAAGTGACAAGAGAAATAAGTCACTTTAGAATACTTGATTAGTGCGGTTTGGTAGTCCAGCTTCATTTCCTCTATTCAGCGTGTAACTTTTTTTTACTCCAGCACATGTGGGATTCTTACAAATGAAGTGTCAAAAAGTTCTATGGTCTGAGACCAAAATTCTGCTTTTTCTGCAGCTGTTTAATACAAGGCGAGCACCTCACATCACAACAGGGCTAATAGGTAAACACTGAAATCCTGGAGGACAATATGCTGTAGTCAGCATGGAAACTGCTATTTGGAAGATTTATTGTTCAGCAAGACAATGACCAAAAACAAAAAGCTCAAACCACACAGGACGACATTAAAAGTCCTGGGGTGGCCTAACTCCAAATCTTAATCTAATCCACAATTTGTGGCATGACCTGAAAGTTGGTGTTCACTCACAGCTGCTATGAGATTTACCGAGACAAACTGGGAAGAAGTGCATTTGTGCAGGAGTAGAAAAAAAATACCAAAAAAGCAAATAAATAAATGCAGACAAAGTAAGACCTGATGCATTCATTTCATTAAATAATTTTTATTTCTTTAAGAATAACTGAAGAAAAGTGTTAGCAATTTCTGTACAATTTTTTTTCATGGTTTTCCCTTGGATTTGCTGAAAATCTTGAATGATCAACAGGGCTGAGAAATGTTATGCTGCCACATAGTGCACTTTTAACCTAAAAAGAATATGATTAGTCCACAGGCATCCGTCAGTTTCCTTCGAATACATATTCCAAGAAGTTCCTTAAGCCTCACAGTTGACTCCAGTTTCATTTTTCATTGGCTCCTTCTCTCAATCCCAGTTCATCATTGTCAAAAAAAGAGGCACATTAGAAATACTGCCATTTTCCAAGGACTGTGTCTTTGATTGCATCGACAAACTGTGCAGGCACCCAGTAGACCCAATATTGAGAAGCTTCCGTCGGACCCAACTGAAAAGCCTACAAAAGTAAAGATAAACTGGTTTAGTGCATTTTAATTTTGGCTTGCGTAGATTTGAAATGTCATTATAAGCTATTATGCTAATCTGTAAATATCAACAGTTTTATTTGCATCTCAAATCACAACGTACATTGGTATGTAGCAAATCAGCGGTCCCCAACCTTTGTTGCACCACGGACCGGTTTTAAGCAAGAAAATTTTCTATGGACCGGTCATCACGCACATAACAAACAATAATTGTTTTTTCTATTAAAAAGCTTCACAAATGAATAAAATGACTTGCTAAATACACGCTTGCTTTTTCTTCCGTCTCAGTATCAAGTGTCTCCCACTTTCCAAAGAAGCTGAGATGTTTGTTTTTTTATTAATTTCGACAACTGTTAGACTCACGGCTTCGTTAAACACATAAAAACTGACAGTCAAGTGCGAGAAACAAGCGCAGACGTATGCGACGGGAGGACAAGCTAGTCATTTTTCAAAATAAAACACCCTGCAGACTCCACTGGGAAAAAAAAAAACCAATAAAATGTTGTTTTTTTTTTCTTTCTGTGCGGCCCGGTACCAAATGACGCACAGCCCGGTACCGGTTCGCGGCCGGTGGTTGGGGACCGCTGTGCTAAATAGGATCCAACCATGAAAAATACAATCTGCTTTCTCTAGTGTTATATGCACATGTGCTGCAAAGCAAAGCTTAGAAAATAAGCACAACACTGTGACTGATACACATATAAACTGTCTCATGTAAAAACATCAACACAAAAGGAGAAATTCCTTTTCAGAAGACTACAGCTCACTAAACAGCTATTCTGCAACATGACATACAACTGGGGGGAAACACCAAACATTTACTTCAAGTCTTCCTGTTCTCAGTTTCAAGTAAGCCAATATCAGACTTACAACTCCTCACTTATTCACATTTTAAAGCATTCCATCAGTGAAGGAGGGGCAAGCTGCCAGTATCGCATTTGATTTTTAAGCCAAACCATTAAAACACAAAGCAGTGCTGTTTTGCATTGTGTTCCAATATCTCTGCTCTGTAGGCGCGATGAAACATGGTGGATCTGGATCGATTATTCACGCTGTGACGTGTGATGAGGTGGTGATGAATCGCAACAATCACTCATTCAAGCTATGAACTACACGATCAGCCTTTGATTGAATGCACTTATAGCTAGCTGCCTTGAGATTATAGCATTGTGGAGTTAGTTTGTACTCAGTTTAGGGACGTCTGTGGTCGAGAGATAAATAATTCCCATTATTGCAAAAAAGTACTGGATACCAATATGAGATATAAGATGCATTACAGCTTCGGGGGTATCCTTCAGTAACACATCCAGTTCAAAAACACATCAAAAAGAACGTTATGACACACAATTTTGGCACGCCTGAATAAGATCTTGATCCTATTGAGATTACCTGATTCAATTACACTACTTGTCACAGAAGTTCTATCTCAGACAGTGAGGAACAAGTGCCCTTAGACATAAAGGTTAATCTAAAGAAGTCACTGACATTTCCCGCTCCGCTGCAGAGCCCAAAACAGCAAACAATGACTTCATCACTCGGATGCACACATACTCCTACACCAGCTGTTTACCTACACAAAAGACCTTTTGTACATTAAATATACGTTCACCTCTGCTGCTGTGCTCCTTTGCTTTTCTCCAAACAAATATCACACGACCTTTACGTTCTGAGCATTATGACCCACGCACATAATCAGTCTTGACCTCTGAGCATTTGACATGTGGATTTTTCATACAGCAGATAAGTCTGACATGCATGCGGCAGCGGCAACAGTTACCATCATGTGATAGTCCTCGTGGCCTTCGATGGGTTCAGACACTACGTTTTTAATGGAGCCCATTGGGACTTTCTCCGTTCTCTCTGTAGAAGAAAACGCACAAGCACAAAGAAAAAAATTTTTATCATCGGTATCTTTTTGTTGCAATGGATTTTTTTTGCAAAAGTAGGCCAGCTGTAATCTCACCTTTTGTTCCGATCCACAGCTGATCTTGCTCCAGTTTGAATGTGAGTCTAACTTTTCCTCCGGACTTGTTAAACATTCCGGATAAAGGCACAGTTGGTAATCGTTCCTGTGAGGGTGACAAGGAAACCGTCACTCTTATTGCTATCCAAATGATGTAAGTTATCCGTATGTACAGGTAATAACAGCTGATGTGAAATAATCCTTTATCTTCTCTCACCTTTGTTCCTTTAATAGCTGGCATAATGTCATCTGGTTTACCTTTGTCCAAAACCTTCCTGTGTTGCTGAAATAATAGTGCAGCTTTAAAATCACAGAAATGAAACAAAAAAAAGAGAGACACTACTCTACAGTAATGTATGACGTCTTACCTTTTGCCTACATAAAGGCTCTTTCTTGTTTTCTTCGGCTTTTACTTCCTGCTGAATGACCTCTTTGGGTGTGTTAACAGCTAATACATCATTTATTGTGGATCCTACCACCATAATTTTTGCACCATTTGTAACCCTTATTTCACGTAGCGTCTTGTCCTCTGGAAGCAACCCTTTGTACATCACTTTCTGCATTGCCGGTGGAAGACCTGAAAAGATGAATTAGTCACAAAGATCTTAACGTTTGCTGAAAACACCCACTGTACTGTTTAGTGTGAGGTCGCCGCTTACCAGTGAGTGAGTGGATCCTCTCTTTTAGTTTGGCTCCGGTGCTGTCAACAGGAATTTTCAGATCATATTTATTCTTGTTCCAGATAATCTTCAAGTCCACCGTTTCCTGCTTGTCGTCTGCATCGTCCCCATTGCTAATACTAGAGTCCTGAGTTGTGGCGTTTCCTGCATCTGTGTGAGACGTAGTTTCTCCGTCACCTTTCTCGACATCTTCGCTTAGTGGTTCTGCTTCTTTTGGCTTTGCCTCAGTTTCCATTATGACTTCTTCACTTCCTGCAAGAGCACGAAAGCTTTGATTTAGATTTCCTTAAATGAATTTCTATATAGCTGCCAAATCCAACTTTGTTAGTTTTCAAAATAGCATATCCACCATTTGTCAAAGAGATGCAAGTATTTATAAGTACACATCTATTTAATTAGCATGTATATGTTTGGTACCAGTTACTTTCATGCATAGTGCAGTTTATAGTCCATGCAGTCTATGCAACATTAATATGCGGGTTTCTAAGAATCTTATCTGTTTCGAGCCTAATTATGCTGCGTGCCAGTTAAGCCTCTGAAAGTGAAATTGAAATTTGTGACTATTTACACGAATAACTGTGCAACACAATGGAAAGGCTGTGAATGTAAAATCAAACAGCACAGTAGAAAACAATGCAACATAAGAACATGATGAAAGTTATTTTACATATAGACAAAGTGTAGGCTGACGCTACAGTGGATTAAACCGTTCCCTTTTAAACTGACAAACGTTTGGTATTAAAAGTAACAACAGATTTTTAGAATCCACACTGAAGTCAAAATTCAATTTTGATAGAACATTTTATACGTTAAATATTTTCCTTTTTAACCGAATTTATTTTTGACGACCTTGCCTGATATAATACCTACCTCCACTAACATAAAAATATTATTTTTATGTACAACATACTGAATACTTCCCATAGCAAATTAATTTTTCAATTAATCACTTTGTCTCTGTATTTTGTCTGACTTGCGGTGCAAAACACAAAATATATTCATTTTACAAACACAGAAAAACTATAAATTTCCACATTAAAGATGATAAAATTAGACATTACTTAGCACTTTTTGCTTGAAACAATACTTCAATTATCAAAAAAGGTTATTAATAACTGACTGATTAATGTCCCAGTTGTTGTAGCTCTTCTGTCAAATACTAAAGCAAGCACAAGGCAAGATGAGCCTGGAAACAGATGGCTTACTGTGATAAAAAGAACAGAAAAAAATAAATGTGCAGGGGGAAGCCAAGCCTATCTTTAGGCTTTGGTCCTTATATTTCTCTCAATATTTTCTATCTCTAATTTTTAACAACTTTCAAGCCGCCATTAATTTAGATGGCATGGTACTATGATACATATGGACTTACTTGTTTGATAAGTGGTCAGGCTACAAATCTTAACATGTCTTTTGAGGTATAAAAAAACGCATTTGTTTCCTATGCAGTTCTCTGTACGTCCACATGATATGTGGTTAAAGTCCGGAGATGTGACTGTCAGTAAAGTGTCTCATCAAGTCTAGTTTCGCTTTTTCTGCTCACTCACTTTCTGTCTCGTGTCCTTTCTAGCTATTTCCACTGCTTATTTTTTTTTTCATCTACTTAGCAATTCTTACTTATGTGTTAGGAGAGCTGGAAAACATAACAGCGAACCGCGGCTGAACCACAACGGACATGTTTTTTTTTTTCACAATCTGTAGTCGCAAAAACAGTGAATCTTGTTAAACGCTTGGCCTTACAAAACTGGCAACGTTAACGTACCAAACTGTGTTGTAATACTTCGTCGTAACCATTCTTGACTTAACTCTTTTTAATTACCACTTTAACAGCTAAAGTCGACCGGTTCGAACCTAACACCTGTTCAATTTCCAACATTATTCTTTGCTCTCCACAAATGCAGCTAAATCTAACTGATGTTAGCTATCGGTAACGTTAGCTAGCTGCAACACTGGTGAACATTAAAAGAAATAACGTTGCGGAGAGACGTAAATTTACATCACAATCTGTTAATAGCGTCATATATTTACATGTCAGCTAGAACCACGACATATTTCATTAATACTATTTCACCTAAATGTAAAGATATAAAAGAAATACAGCTATATTTTCTCAATACCCACCATCCTGGGTCGCCATGATGATTGTGTACAATCTGTTGTAGGTTGTGGCAAAGAGAGTACAGGAAGCGGGATGAGTCTGATATCCAGGAAACAAAAGTCCTCAGCTGTCGCGCTGCTGCCAACCTACGTGTGACAGCGTGAAAATCAGGGAAGAAAATGTTACATGTTTTAAAATGGCATTAGAAACACAGCTTTAGTTACCAGCATAACGTTAAAACGACTGAAGTTTAAGTTGCAGACAGAGTGCGCATGCGCTTTTGGGAAAAAAAGGGAAGTAAAAGTTGTTTTGTTTTTTGATAAATCCATTTGTATTTGTGATTAATAGAATAACATGTCGAAGTGATTTAGTAAAATGTGGTGTCTTAAAATAAACGCTAAAATCGCTAAAAACACAAGCCGTGTAATGTGGCTACATACGGGGATTTTTAGCAAACACGGAAGTGAGTGGCTATGAATCCTCTCGCTGCGCTGCGCTTCTTTGTTGTTGTGGCAGCAGAAGCACACGCCGAGAGGTGGCACTTTATCAAAAACCTACTGGTTAAGTTTGTCTTTTTCTATAATCTTATATAGTTTGGGAATTTATATTGAGTACCTGCTGGCAAAAAATAGTATGTTTAGATGAATTCCAACCATCACAAATTAAAACGAAACCCATATTATCTATCAAATGAGTAGAATAAAGACGATATATCTCTCACTTATCTCTTAAAAGCAGTGTGTTGGGATGTTTTCTCCCCCTGATGTCTTTAAAATGTACTTTACTATGACTTTGACACTGTTTTCCAGCTTTATCCTTCACGTGTATCATTTTTTATGTAGTAATCACATGACATATTGACATTTCGGGGGTTTTGTTTGTTATTTAGTGAGACTGCAATTAGCACAATCAATAAAATATCACGCATAAAAGTCAAAAATTGTACTTTTAGTTCATGTCTATTAATTATGGGAGAGAGAAAAAAGAGAGATCCATACTTTATTTCATCTGTTTTTTTTCAGTACCCAACTCTCCTGTCTCTGGGCTGTATTTACGCGTGTTTTTATTAATTTTGAAATGGATAGAGATATAGCCTTTACACACCAAAAAAGGTTTATTACAAAATAAAAACAGATCACATGAGCTTTTGAAGTCTCCTGGGGGGGAGATGTTTCTCTCGGTCACCTCTGGAAGGCAGCAAAGCTAAAACGAGTGTCAATGAGCGCATCAAGAAGAAGAACCAGAAAAAGAAGGTGACGACAACCGTGACGAAGAAGTGAGAGGAAGACCGCAAAAAAAAAAAAAAATTAAAGTCACAAGTTGTCATGCGTACTTGGTAAAACAGGAGGGAAGTATCCTTCTGACACTGTTAGTGGATGTGTATTTCCCACACTGTCCACTGCTGCTGTTTTGGCTGCTGTTTACGCACAAAACTGCAACCAAACAAGTTGGTAAAGTCAACTTTTACTGGCGCAACTTTTTTTTTTTTGCCGAAATGGATTCATTCGAGTGCATATGAGAGTGTTGTAGAAGTTATCCGACGGGGACATTATAAGCAGCAATAAATGTGAAATGTATTGGTAAGGACGGTTAAGGAGGCACCATGGCAGACAGAAGGACTTTCAACGTTGTGGTTTTGGGTTTGGGATTTTTGTTCATTTTTACTGCTTTCACCACCTGTGGGAACATTGAAGTAAGTTTTTTCTTTTTCTGTTTTTCCCCACATTTTACTCACCATAATCAGTGCCTTTTTTTTATACTCGTGTTTGGTCTATTTCCTCAGAAGCATATTTTCAGAGCGCACAGAGGACTCTCAGTAGAGATTTTTGATTTAATGGATGGAACAGATTTGCTGGCCCGCAGCTCTGAAACCCATTCAAAAACTAATCCAACGCTGCTCTTACACACCCACAAGTGTGTCATTCTGAATATATTTTTGGCAACATGTGTGTTTTATTTTAAAAAAATAGAGGAAAAAAGTAATTTGTAAATGTAAAACTATCCAACTGCATGTGCAGCAGGAAACAGGAGTGTGTCAGTCAGGCGCATCTCGTGGTACTAATTGTCTTCAATGGAATTTTCTTCATTGGACCAAACGGATAAATGACTTAAGGACATGACCCAGTTTGTCAAGTGAAACCTTGTACTTCACGGAATCTTTTTCTCTTCATTTCAGCAAACTGTGGTGAAAAACCTGGAAAATGCTACTTTCACTGGGAGTGGGTACCACAGGTGGGTCAAACAGCTTCACATCTTCAGCTCAGGATGGACAAAAAAAAAAAGGAATAAAATGTTGTTGTATTTAAGGAAATAGGGGTTTACTCTGTTCTCTTTTTTGCCTCCTTCACAGTCTTGGAATCATCTATGGAGTCTTTTCATTCGCCAATCTAATTGCATCAACGGTTGTTACAGTCCTTGGACCAAAACTGACCATGTTTTTGAGCGGCCTGCTTTACAGGTATGCCCGTTACACAAAGGATGCTCACAGAGATGCTTGAAACATGTTTCTCATGACTGTGTTTGTGTCTAGCGGTTACATTGCAGTGTTCATCATCCCTACAACGTGGGCCTTTTACCTCACGTCGGTGCTCATCGGCATAGGAGCAGCCAGTAAGTTCATCTCCTGCCTACTGTCATATAAAAACCTGTCATTAGATATTTAATAGATTTTTATATTTAGTGATAAAAATGTTGAAGCTACTACTCTGTCACTTCTCATGCATGTTTGCACAAGCATATGTGGGAGCTCTCTGCCTTGTCGCATGTAGTTCTGTCATTTGAAATTTCATTTGCACACTTTTTCTTGCACTTGTGCACATTTTTTGCCCTACACTTCACTTAGAGTTTATGTTACACTAATTGGGCATTTTGCATTTTATATTTTCTTCCTGTTTATTTATACTCGGTGCATATGTTTTGCTTGTTTATCTGTATTTATGGTGATGATAACCACATTTCCCTCAAGGGATGAACTCTATTCAGGACTTGTGGGGTCTTTTGGACCTCAGGCCATTTGGTTTATTTTTGAAGATTGTTTTTTTAAAAAATATATGTGTCATGCATTTCGAACCAAAAATACGTCAACTTATCAGAAAATTTATTTAACATAGTATAAAAGTCTATAATAAATACCAACAAATATTTTACACATATTCTTTCTCCATGAAAGTCCTGAATAGGGTTAATGAAGTATTCTATTCTATTCTATTCTATTCTATTCAACTTGAGGTAATAATTAGCAGCTTTAAAGGACATCAAGAGAAATGCATCCTCAGAGACAGCTGAAGAGTTGAGGATTTATTAATACAGGTTCTTTGACCTGTTTTTATCCTGCAAAAGGTTAAAAACAGGTCAAAGAACCGATATTAATAAATGAAAATGAAAATTTTTAAAACAGACACATTCATTAAATTAGAGAAAATGACACTACTCTCCTTTGATTCTTTCTTGGTTTCTCTTTCTTTTTCTGACATTTAATGGTGCACTGACTTGAAACTGAGGTCATAATGTCAAGAATCGTTGCTAAGGGTATTTTATTTTTCATCAGTAATAGTTGCATTTAACTCAACAGGGTAGCTAGAGTGTAATTTATTCTAATCGTGTGTTTGCCTCTATTTTCATCATCAATTATATTATTTTTTTCGTTACAAGTTAAGCACTTTATCTAAAAACAAAATCCAACAAGCAATTCCAATTTCATCTTGATTTAATGGAGCTAAAGATCTGAACATGTGCTGTTTTGTCTGACTATATGTAGTCCAAGAACTACACATCATATAGAATGAAAAAAGCACAAAATCCTCACATTTAGAAGTGAAACTTGGAAATGTTTGGGATTTTTTTTTTTGGTTTGTGTTTACCAGATTATTATTATTATTTCTAAAAAAATTCACAATAGCTAGATTTCCAGGTTTTTGTTTGGCTCATGCTCAGTCACATTCCATTTAATAAAATGTGCATGTGAGCACTGGAGCAGGATACAGTGTATTAACAATAGCCCCAGATATTAGGTGCATACATACATTAACATGGTTTATGCTGCCCATGCAGGCTCGGTTTCTGTCATAAGATCCAAATAGTGTTTAATCATGCATACAGGGATTATCATGGCTGGGATGTGATGTTGCTTATAAACAGCATATCCCAAATTAGACCTTAAATGGGTTAGGGGCTGTTTCTCCAAATAGTGCGCGGTACCTTGAGCTTGCTCAGAAATGTGAGTGAAAATAACGAGGAAGCAGCCTTCTGCTGAGCGTATACAGTGGGAAAGAAAAAAAAAAATGAAGAGAAATGATTCAGGGCTGTTTTTAATGCAGCCTCAAATCACTGCAGTGTGATGAATTTTTATCATGTCCCAGGGCTGCTGTATGGTTAGATGCATTACTTTGCCAGCGCAGAAGTATAATTTTTCACTTCGTGTCTGCAATTAACTGACCGGTTACATTTTTTTTTCCCGCTCTCAAATGACCCCTCTCCTTCACTTCTCTACAGTGCTCTGGACAGCTCAAGGACACTTCCTGGTGGAAAACTCAGAGGCTTCCACCATCAACAGGAACACTGGCATGTTCTGGGCGCTTCTACAGTGCAGGTACTGACAAAGGAAATGTTCCACTCCAGTGTCTCATTCTTAATACATTACCGCCATGCATTAGTTCATGTAAAATTTCAAAAGCTCCATTTAAACCACGTCGTGTTTTAATGGTTAGAATATAGCGTGTGTGATTTAACTGTGGCCTTTAGTTGAATAAATATCACGCTAATGCTTTATTTGCTCTCTAAGCCAACCCAGCATTGCTATAAAACCAGCGTGCATTATATTATTCCTTCCAATCGTTACATTCGGAGCATAAAACACAATTCATCGCCATGTTTTTCATGATTTTTTTTTTTTTTCTTTTTGTTTGATCCAACTAGTCCACTTGATCAAAGGTATAATTGCACCGCAGCAGCCCAAATCCTCTCCCGTCTGTATTTTTAGCTTGACAGGATATATTACTGTACGCTTCATCTTAAAAATACATTTAATAAATCGTGTTACAAATTGTCACTGGAGTGTAAAATCTAAACAACACCAAAGCTTCTTAGAGGTCTGCAGGTGAGAGTTTGAGACTTGTGTTTTTCTTCTTGTATTCGGCCCATTGCTCTTGCACACTGGCTTGGACAACTAATTTGTATTTGTTAAAATATGCAAATTGAATTAGTATAATAATTACAGTGGCTGTCACTGGTGCCAAAGCTCCCAATAGGGCAATGCTAATCTGACTGTGCAGCGGTGATCACTGCCACAGTAAACTTATGAATCGGTTCTTCACAGCCCGCAGACACGAGCACAGAATGCCACTGAACATCGCTGTTCTTTCATGAATAACCCCTGTTATCCCTCATTGTGGCTATGAGACAGACTAATGGCTCATCTACATTTTTTTAGTTGAGGTGGATGTGCAATTAAAGACAGAAATAGATCAGAGCGTTTTACGCAACTACACTGTTAACCATGAAAGACAAATAAACAACTTAAAAAAGAAGAAAGAAGCATCCTCAGAGGGAAAAATGCAGATTATTATGTTTCTAAAGTCGCTGTTTGATCCAGCCAATATGTGAACCACGTCCACATTTTCTGTCTATCAAACATCATTTCTCAAATGGCTCAGCTAACACCATATCCGCAGTCTTTTTTTCTTTTTTTTTTTAATTACGCCGACTGTCCAAATGGGAACACTTTAATTAAAGGTCACAAGTTTAAGCTCTGAAAGACCCCCGAGAGGTTTGATGTACATGAAAGTTGATGTACACAATAAATTGGATTTTATAATTAAATGTTAGAATGTTTAACTAAACCAAATCTCAGATACTGGAGCTCTAATTATGATAAAAAACAAATGTCTTCATGTCGATGATTGGCCCAAGTACGGTCCGCATCGTTTGAGAGAAACAAAAGCCACACATGTGTCCAGTGCGTCCCTGCTCCCTACACAACATATACGACACTCAGTGGTTTAGTGAGCCATCATTATAATGACTAATGGCACACAGGTGTACTGCTGCACAACAATAATTATTGCATCTATATAATGCAACATACTACTAGTGGGATTGTTAAGGGAAAGCAGGCTCTGTGCTGTGGATTCTACCTTTTACGTTCTACTGGAGGGACTTTTTTTTTCCAGTGCTGTACTGTATAAATGTATTTATGAAAGCACTGCAACTGATGACATGCAGTACATACAGTATGAAACAGAAATGAGTACACATATCTGTGCAGTAAGTTAACAAGGATTTCTTCTCTGAATAATCAAAAACACTGAAGAAAGACAAAAATACAGGCCTCAAAGTAAAAACTGAGTACAACTAAAGTAAATACACTTGTGATCACTCAAGTAAAAACGTGCCTTCTAATTAGTTAGTTATTATTGTTTATATAATCGCCTCTTAACACCAGCGCTTTCTCAGTTTCGGCTGTGTCTATCTGCATACCTGCATCATGGCTCCACTCACTTAAAAAGAAGGTTACTGAGCAACTAAAAATCTGTTAAAACCCATTTGCAGCAGTAACCAGGAAGTACAGCATGAGCCATAGCACCACCAGTCAGAGCCACAGTGAAAATGGCGCCACAGATAGTGTGCTTCTTGCACAATCTAGCTCTGAAAAACAGATGGGCTTCAGACATGGTACTGGGGAAGATTGGTGAGGTGGCCTTCCCTGAATACTGGTTTCATTCTGGGCAAGACACCTCCCTACTGGTCCTCTCTTCTTCACGTCACCCATAGTTCTTATCGTACAAGGTCTAGTTAATACATCAAGCTCGTCATCCCCAATACTTCTACTGTTTTTGGCCTTAACTCCTTTGCAGCAGCTAACGACTGGAACACCTTACAAAACACCCCCAAACTTTCAACTCTGACTCCACTCACCACCTTCAAGCTTAAAATCCAACAGATTGTAGTTGACTGTTGCTCCTGCTGATCACATCGGATTTTACTTACACACACATATATACACACACTTTCTTCCACCTCATGCACATCTTTTCTCACTCACATGCTCCCATAGTTCTTACTTGTTTGCTTTTGCTCTACGTTATGCTTATGTGTCTATTTGTGTCTGCAATGTGTATTTGTTCCTGCTCCAAATGCATAAAAATAAATAAGAATGGATTATCAGTGGAAATCTGACTTTCTATGAAGCTCAGACAGTGTAAAGGACAGTTCATAGCGTCAACCTCTATGAACAGCATTCAAGACAAACTCCTACAAAAGAGTAAACTTTACCAAAGAGCATGAATAGAAGCCTGATGAATATTTGGAGCACGCTCTATGGCCAGAGGATAGCAAAATAAATGTGTTCAGCTCAGAAGGGGTTCAGTTTGTTTGGTGGTCAGAACTACCAGAGTGAATGCATAATCCTGACAGTGAAGCACAGACTCGGGATTGTGATGAAAAGGGGGCGGCATTAGAGCAAAAGGTGATTGGGGAGATGACATTTACAGGTGGCACCATGAATGCTGCAGGATACACCAAAAATACTGGCTGACAAGATAACTCCCAATTTCCAAAAGCTTGGCAGAAGAGAAATATTCCAGCATGATAATGATCACGCTGCCAAAATCACAGAAGACTTTGGGGAAAAAAAGGTGACCTGGAGAAGTATGTTGCCTGACTTGAATCCAATAGAACACCTTTGGGGTATTTTTATAGAGAAAGTTAGAGAAACACAACCTCTTCAGCAAAGAGCAGCTGGAAAAAAAACCATTCCTTGCGGATTGGCGGACCTTTTTTCCAAAAAAAAAAAAAAAAGGAGTCTTACACTAGTATCCTCCTCAGCTCCCTTAGAGGAAAGTGGAGTGTACATTGCTGCTGTCAAACGAGGACCATGTACAACCTAAATGTTAACTTTTTTATAAACTAAGAAAGGAGCGAGAAAACAGTGGACGATATACAGTGAGTTTTATGATCCTAAGCGGTTGAAACTAAGCTCATCAGAGATGCTCATAATTAATTCACTCGTGCAAAAGCATTAAAATCAGGAGATACAAGGTCTTCTCCTACGTGAAATCCAATTCATGTCATGTTTGTCATTAACCCTGTTTTAATGTACATCATTTCTTTTCTTTACAGCATGTTGTTTGGCAATCTTTACATTTATTTCGCCTGGAACGGACAAACAGAAATATCAGGTAAGGTCAAAACCTGAGTAGGTACCCGCCACGGCTCCACCCGCAAAATGCAGCGTGATAATAAAAGTGAAATATCAAGGGGATTATACGGTTATTCTGAATGTGCTCCAGCTTAATGTTGTTAATATAGCTGGTGCATTTTAATTAAGCGGTTTATTTTAATCTTCCTCTCTCAGACGGCAGCAGGAGAACCCTCTTTCTGGCCCTGCTGGTAGCCTCCATCCTTGGTACGCTCAGCTTCCTGGTGTTGAGGAAGATTCCACACGAGGAGGAGCTGCTGTCTGAAGAGGAGGGGCAGTCGCTGCTCCCGACACGCACCATGTAAGTACATATTCTGTAGGTAATCACTTTTTTATTTGCTGTTGTCTTTGAAAAAAAAGCCCTCATTGTATAAAAATGTCTGTGAAAGAACACAGAAATATATGACAGCTAACATGACAAAACAGTTGCCCGTCATCCAGTTGACCTTGTGAAGCTGTTACTAGACCACCAGTGAAATGATTATATTTCTCCAAATAACCCACCTTGGATTTCGCAAGAGTCTCCAGGATGACTTACTGCAGGAGTTTTTAAAGCACTCTTGTCCTTCACAGAAAAGATACCGTCCATTTTTTTTTTTACTCTAGATCAACACAGCTTTGATAGAGCCAAAGCCTAATCACGGCACTTTACACGAGTGGGGTGCAATCAGGCAGATTTGGGATAGCTAGGACGGAGACTTTCTCTTTGAGAGTTAAAGAACATTTTTAAACATTTTCTGATTTGATAAAGTGAATCATGAGATGGAAAAATATAAAAATAAATATAGTTGGCATCAAAGACTGTTGGAAGTCATTTGAAAATGACTGACATCATTAAAAGTATGAGACATAAACTACCTCAGTGATTATATAGACGTCTTGTTAGATTTGGACAGAACATACCCCGTCTCTGTCTCACTGCAGCAGATTGTGTTAGGAACTGTTTCGGATATCATCTCTGCGCAAGCGTTTCGTACTTGCTTATTGCTTCAAGTTTCCGACTAAACAGTGATTCTAACAGAACAACACTGAATCCTGTGGGGACGAATCCATCCTCTCTTTGATTTGTAAATGACTTCACCTTTGCCATCTTTTTCTTGAAGGAATCCATATGATTGCGAGTGCAGTTTATTTTTATTGATTTAATTTCAGAGCTGTAGAAGGTAATATTGATTTCATTTCTGTTGTTTAGGTACAAGCACAGAGCAAACACCGCCATGCAGGATGCCAAGTCAGAATTCAGTAAGTTTTGTGTGTGTGTGTGTGTGTGTGTGTGTGTGTGTGTTTTTTTTTTTCAGAATACCATTACCAAGTGTGAGTTTTCTGCTTTGTTAAGATGATGCTCGGGATTTTCTCGTTAACATTCATTATGTATCTGGATACATAATGAATGCAGTGCATGCTGATGCAAAGCGCAAATGAGCAGATTCCATACACACATGTATATCTGTAATGAACTACGTATACTAGCAATACAAATGAAGCATCCCAATCCATACTACATGCTCATTCTAAGCAGCTTTTTTCAGATGTGTTGTGTTCGCACTGGAAAAGTGACAGAATTAAATATATTCCAACAAGACAGCATGCATACTAAACACAATATAATCGTTGTTTTTTTTTTTTTCAGTGTTTTGTTAATGCATGCTATTCTTCCATGATGCAAAGCTCAAAGGAGCGAGAGCAGATGCTCGCAGTGGAAAAAAAAAAAAGAACATTTAAACAAATGCTGGTGAGAAGATCTTCAGAGAGAAAAAAGTGCAAAAGTCTAGTAAATAATATAATAATTACATGAATTTTGAAGTTTGACTGACGGCTGCATCTCAAAGTTGGTTTGATTGACATCCAGCGTTGATTTTTTTTGTGTGTGTACTAAATGCTAAAGTACCATGAGAATCTGTGTGCAACATGCTGTGTACAATCAGCAGGTTATATTGGTTTGGGTTAGGAGTAAACAGCCATGCAAGCAACAAGGTGAATCTGTGACATTTCTGTAACTGTGCTAATTGCTAATTAGCACAACACAGAAAGTGATTTGCAGCGGAGGATGATGTAAATAAAAAATTATAAAACATGGAGCAAAACGGATCCAAAATCACTGATGATAAAAAGCTGTTCATCCAAAGAGGAACATGAAGAGGAACATATTCTCAGCATTGTTAGATTTTTCAGTTTGGACTGAAGTGGGTGAATCCACTGGTGCCGTCCATTAAGCTGTGGTGGGGGAAAAAAAAAAGTGTTTTCTTCCTTGCACCGTAAACATGTATCATCTGAGAAACTGAATTTTCACAGTTGATATGAAACTAGCGGAAGAGGCACTGAAGACCTCACAGAAGCATGTGATTTTTATTTTTTTTTCCTTTTCTTTCCCGGCTATTTGCATTACATCTCACTTCTCTTAGTCTGAAACTAGCAGGCAGTCGCAGCAGTTTTGTTTTTCTTCAAGTGAAAATTGCTTTCATGTGGATAAAAATCTTCGAGCATCACAGCAGAGTACACAGAAGCTGCCTGCGCGCGAGTTTATTTCAGATTATATCTCTGTTTGTCAACTGGAAACTCTGCTGCACTTGCACCTGCCTTCAGTGCAGCCCCAAGTTGTTTGGATCATCAGATTGCGCTTTGTCTCGTGTGTATCTTGCGTGCGTGTAGGCTTTTGTACACCTGCCTTAAAGGTATCGGGTTTATCAAAGATGCATGCTGATTCATGTCAAGAAAGGGCATTGAGGCGTATATAAACAAACCTAGTGGGATTTCTTCTTTTAAAATCTGAATTTCCCCCTAACAGCCTGAGTGAAATTCCCTCTCGGGTGCTTTTCCATCTGCATTTGAATGTGGCTTTTTGGCTTATTGCGACAGAATAATTCTCCCATATTCTACCTGGATTGAACTCTAATTGTCAGAGGAGAACGCTTGCCTTAATGTCTGCATTTTCATCTGAGCTCAACGCCGAGGTAAAAGATGTGCAGCAGGGATGGAAATGTAGTATTTATTAGCAATTCAAATCAGTGCATTGTGTCTTCTCCCTCTCAGAAACCATCCTGCAACTGATAAAAACGAAAACTATACTGCTCCTGAGTCCCTGCATGGCATACAGCGGTAAGTCAAATGCATTAATATTGTGTTTTAGCCTCCGGTAAAAGGCCTACAGCTACGGCATGCCTTCCTTGTTCCTCAGGCCTCGAGCTATCCTTCTACAGTGGGGTCTATGGGACGTGCATCGGTGCTACCGCGCAGTTCGGTGAAGCCGCTAAAGGCTTGATCGGGATCTCTGGGATTGTGGTAGGCATTGGAGAAATAGTAGGTAAGCTTTTTTTTCTTCTCTGAACACTTTCAGGTGATTTAAAGTCACTGAAGGTCATTCGATTCATCCAGAATGTGCTTTTTTTCCCGTCAGGTGGAGGCTTCTTTGGATTCCTGTGTAAAAACAACCGCTTCAGACGAACGTCCGTGGTGTTTCTGGGAATGGTCGTCCATTTTGTCGCCTTCTATTTGATCTTCCTCAACATCCCGGATGATGCTCCTGTCGTCTTTGAAACCAACACGCTAATGAGCCCGTACCTGACTCCGAGGTAGGCCATCTCTCTAATTATTCTCCATAATGTAGAAGGAACACCACGAAGCTCAGCTGTGATCGTGTTGTTTTACAACAACCTGTAATTTCTTCCTCAGCATCTCCATCGCCCTGCTGTGCAGCTTCTTACTCGGACTTGGGGACAGTTGCTTCAACACGCAGCTCTACAGCATATTAGGCCATGTTTATGCTGAACAAAGCACGCCGGCGTTCGCCATCTTCAAATTCATCCAGGTAATCCCGAGTTGCCGGTTCTCAGACATTGTTAGCAGAGCTGAGCTAAGCCGGGTCAAAATGTTGTGCTGTCAAGTGTGAAATAAATCCACCTGAAGCCACACTGAGAAGGAATCTCTTCACCTCTCCAGTTTTCTTTGCCGCAAAACTGCCTCTAATAAGAGTATTTTCTTAACACGTTTTTTTTTTTAAGACTGCTACAAACACAAGACACTGTATACTATCTATAGGATAGAA